GCGCGTCGGCTCCGCCCTGGCCCTCCGCAGGCCAGGCCTCCTCCCCCTCCTCCTCCTCCGCAGCCGAGGCGGCGACCGCACCGCCAGAAAGGTCGCCGGGGGTGGGGGCCGCTCGTGGCCGGAGCCCGCCGTTCGACTATAGACGTAAGAGTGACCTTTCGCCGGAGTGGCCTTTGGTGCGGGCACAGATGGGCCCCCAGGCGGCTGAACACGAAGCAGGGGCAGCGGCTTGCGCGCCCAGGTCGGGTCTCCTCGCGGCCCCCACACAGCCGCGCACCAAAGGTCACTCTTGCCCAGGGCCACTCTTGCGTACAGCCGAGCCGTGGCCGCAGGGGCCCCTGCGCGCTCCCGGGCCGGCGCTCCTCGCGGCAGCACCGGCGGCTGCCCGCGGGGGCCCCGGTGCCAAGGAGCCCCCCGCGCGCCTCCACGGGGTGCCTCCAGGGTGCCCCCCGCGGCCCTCGGCAGCCCTGCGGCCGGCGCAGGGCGCGGCGTCCCCGCGCCGAGGGGATCTCGGTGGGCGCCCCCCTGGGGTCTCGGGGCGGGGCTTCCTGGGGAAGGCTGCCCGAGAACTGGCCTGCAAGGCAGGCGTGTCCCGCTGCCAGGGGGAGCATTCGAAGAGATTCCATCAGCAAATCCTATGGGGGCGATGTTTCTAGTTTCTGTTTGGTTTGCTTCGAATAGTGGTAGGTTGTCGCCCAAGACCCGCCTGCAGGGGGACATGCCCGACCTAAGAACAGCCTCCACCGCACACCTCCCCCCTCCCCGTGCCCCCGTCCGGCCCGCCGCGCGGGGCGCGCGCGCACTGTGCACTGTTGTAGGCCCGGCGCCGGGCACGAGCCTCCATCGATGGACGCACGGCCACGGGGCCTCTTCGGGGCGCGGCCCGGGCCGGGACAGAGGATGGTTCCGGGACGCTTCCAGAGTGCTCCACGGAAGGTAAAGCCACGCAGACAGAAAATTTTTGTCGCTCCGCGCGGGTTTCTTGGGCCCGCGCCTGGGCCTCCCGGCGGCGCCTCCGGCGCCGCCCCGCGCGCCAGGGAGGGGGGTCCAGCGCGAATCCAAGAAATCCGCGCGGAGCGCCAAACGTTTATGTTCATGTGGTTGTCTTTGCTCTATTCCAGGCCGCTTTGGAACGGCCGCGGCGCCCGGTACATCCTCCAGAACAGCCGGATCGCAGAGGTCTGATTTCCAGAGGCAACGTTCGGAGGGGACGTGGTTCAGCGGGGGCATCGACCCCCTTGTCGCCCACTCGTCGTCGACAAGGGCCCGCTAGCCCCACGCCGCCAGGGGGACCTGCGGCTTCGGTGTCGGGGCCATCGCCGGCCTATCGGCGATGCATCGCCGATTCAAGCTTGATGGTTCCCCCCTTGAGCTGGCCCCTCCCCCGTAACGTTGCCCCCGATGTTTGTCCCGGCCCGATCTTGTCCCAGTCTTGGCCCCGCTTTCAGTACACGGCGCGATTGCGAGTTGTGATGGCGTCGACGCAGGCCGCCAGGGCGTCACCGGGCGAGCCCCGACCCCCCCCTCCTCCTCCTCCTCCTCCTCCTCCTCCTCCTCCTCCTCCTCCTCCTCCTCCTCCTCCTCCTCCTCCTCCTCCTCCTCCTCCTCCCAATCCCAATCCCAAGGTCGGGCGTCGTGGAGACGGCCAAAGCGCGACGAGTGTTCTGTGCTGCACCCCCCCGTCGGGCCTCAGGGCCCTCGCGGATCGGCCCCACAGGATCGCGAGCTGCCGCGGAGAGGACCTGTGTGCCGATGGCCGCACAGCGTCGGTGCGAATTCGCCACCAGCTTTATGATGGCCCAACCTGCTACTTGGTCACCAGAAGGAATTGCGAGCACCAGTAAAGTACCGACCGAAGCTGGAGGGTTTTCACGCGTCGGGCCCTGGGAGGCGATTCTTGTCAGACACTGTTTGGATATTTTCCTGGGTGTTCGAAAGTATTTCTGAGATGAAGTCCTTAAGTGCGATGGGAGCAACATAACACCAGTTTCGGGACCCGAAGGTTACTTCAATGGGTGCCCCGACCGTCGCGTGATCAGGAAGCGCGAGCCTCAAGCGAGAATCCAGATCGCGCTGCGCAAGGGGGCGTAGTGGGATCGAGAAGCGAGCGACCACAGACCTCAGAGACGTCTCGACGCGTTCTCTGGTTGGCGACTTCCTGCGTATTCTGAAGTCGGGCGCGTCCCTCTACAGGAGGCATATCCAAAGATAGTCGAAAGATAGTCTGGGGACGAATGTTTGAGCATCTTCTGATCCTTCTTGAGTCTGTTTTGCGTACCTTGCATGTTTTCCGCCCAAAATCCGCCTGTAGGGGGACATGCCCGACCCAAGCTCGTTCTCGAGCTGCTCGTTGGACAGCCCATGGGCCAGGCACGGCCTCCCAAAACAAGTTCAGCGTCGCGGAGGTCCGCCGGGTCCCGAATGGGTCGCGTGTGCCCACGCCGTGGGGGGGCTCGGGGGCAACGAGAGGGCCTGGTATCGCTCGGACGTGTGCACTTGTTCGCGGCGGGGATGGATTATCAAGCAGCATCCTGGATCACCCTGCGAAAAAGCCACGCACGAAACCGAAAAAAACACAGGGAATGGACGTCCGAGCGATGGCCAGAGGGGGGGACGCTCAAGTCGGGCCTACCCCTCTACAGGAGGAATGTTCACAAGCAGTGGAACTACCCTGGCGACGTACCCAACCCCTGCGCAGTGCGGGGCAGGAGTAGCTTGGGAGATTTTCGACGAGAAGGCGGCGACGTGACATGGACGCATCTGCTTCTGCGAGCGGCATTCGGAAGGTTCGCAGGCCCCAAATCAAGGGAAACACGATAAGTAACTGAGTGAACCCCTGAATCACTAAGGAAGACGCAAGGTCCGAAAGGAGAAAGTGGGCAAGGTGCTTGAAACGTCGGCGGGGCAGCAACAACATGACATGGCCCCCCAAGGACGGCGAGGCCCCACTCAGGTCTGCGCAGTGCCTCACCCCGCTGGACCCACCAGCAGCATTCGACAGTGGCGAGCCCACCAGCAGCCCTCGAAAGTGGCGACAGTTTCGCAGATCGTAGCCCCCCAAGGACGCGGAGGTCCCGCTCAGGTCCGCGCGGTGCTTCACCCCGCTGGACCCACCAGCCGCCCTCGAACGTGGCGAGAGTTTCGCAGATCGCAGCCCCCCAGGGACGGGAAGGTCCCGCTCAGGTCCGCGCGGTGCCTCACTCCGCTGGACCCACCAGCAGCCTCGAAAATGGCGACAGTTTTGCAGATCGCAGCCCCCCAGGCGAGGCAAGAGGAGACAAACAGGAGGGGAGGCGGAAGGTAGGAGGCGGGAGGCAGGAGGAGAAGGACGCGACCGCAGTGCTCTAGTCAAAACGAATGCCGAACCAAGGAGGGTTGGGAAAGATAGTCTGGGGACGATGGTTCGAATCTGTTTTGATTATTTTAGGGTATTTCCGCGTACTTTTAATATTTCGCCCACAATCCGCGTGTAGGGGGACAGGCCCGACGTACGGATAGGCATAGGGGGGGCTGCGTCGATCCCAAATCGCACATTGATCGCAGATAGGGACTCGATAGCCCAACCCCGCCCAGGAGGGTGCGTATTCACAATCGTGAGCCTGTCGCAGATTTATCGGCGATGTACCGCCGAGTCAAGGTCGATGCTCCCCCCTAAGCCTATCCACCCCTATCGTTGCCTCTCAGGGGTGGGGGTGTCGAGGCTCGAACGGTCAGCACTGCGCATCAGCAGCCGCCGCGACCCGTTCCGAGTGTCAGCCCAGCGGCACCAGTGCACAGTGAGGGCCACCCTCCCGCCCGATCCCGGCAGGATTTCAGCGCGGACTTTTGTGGCCAGTGCAGCAACGAAAAGCGTTCTCGGCCCTCCTTCCCTGAGGAGGAGGAGGAGGAGGAGGAGGAGGAGGAGGAGGAGGAGGAGCCCCCTCGGGCGAGGGAACGGGCCCATTGGCCCAGGCAGGGAGCATCGACCCCCGATCTGGGCCCGTGGCCCTCTCTTCCGTGGCGGGGAGCGCGCGCTGACGCGCTGACGACGCCGCGGGGTTCTCGCCGAGGATCCCCGACTCCAGGCCTACGCGTTCTTCCCCGGCATGGCCCCCCCTCCTCACCTTCCCCTTGCGTGGGAAGGTGGCCGATCGGCGCGGGCCTTCTGTCTCCCCTCGAGCCAGGGCTGGACCTACGCGGTGTTTTTGCGATTTCGTGGGCCGTGATCGTTTCGATTTCGTTTTGCGGTAGAGGCGGACTGAATACAAAACTAAGGGAAACGAAAACAAAACGATAACAAACACACCGTTTAGGTTCAGCCCTGCCTCGAGCGAGAGGGGGTACACGAGACGGAGAAGGCCCTCTCAGAACGCGGCGGGACTTCTCAACAACCCTCGCACCTGCTGAGAAGCTTTCTGTGTTTTCGGGGAAAGCCTAGGAAACCTCTCAGAAGGCCTGGGGACTTGCGAGCCTTCTCAGAAGGCCCGCCCCTTCTCGTTTCCCCCCCGCGCTCGCCTCCAAGTCTTGACCTTGCCTGCTTTTTCGGTCTGCTTCCGGCAACTGATCAGGACCCTCACCCCGTTCTGCCCTCGGGACTGTCAAGCGCAGATCGACTGAGCACCAGCTCAGACCCCCCTCCTTCCCCCGCCCTTTGACCACCTGTCGAAACCCACGATGAGAAAACGTGCACAGCGGAGGGGCAGAGAACGGGGACCACGGCCAAAAGTGCGCGCGGAAACGTCGTTCCGATCCCGGTCACCGCCGATCTCGGTCGGCGTCTATGTCGTGGAGGATCCTCGCGAATCGGCGACGGTCGACGTGGACCATGACCAAGATCGGCAGGACACCGCGACATCGTGGTCGTGGTCCCCGCGCCCCCTCCTCCTCGGAGGGAGGAGAAGCGATACCAGCACCACCAGGGAGCCCACCTCCAGCCAGGAGGTGCACGATGCCTCCCCGAGCTGGAGGCTGGGGATGTCTCGAGCGAGAGGGGTTGGTGGTGGCGCAGGCGTCTCCCCGACATGCCACAGGGCATGTCGGGGCAACGCCTGCGCCAGCACCCGCCCCGCGCGGACCTCTCCCACAGCTTACGCGTCTGCATTGTTGTCCTCCTCCGCGCCTCCCCCGCTCGGGGCTTGCCCCTGAGGCCCCCCCCCCACTGCCTCGAGGGAGGCCTTGCCTCCTCGCATCTCCTCGCCCATGTTGGTGTTGGTGCCGCCTCTACCTGTCCCTCCTCCCTCCCGCGCATGCGCTGAAGTCGGGCCTGTCCCCCTCTACAGGAGGAGCACTCCAAAATAGTACAAACAATCAGTGTGGGCACGATTTCTGTTGTATGTTGTGTTGCTATTTGGGGGTATGCTTGTTTTTACTACATCCTTTTCTATTTCATACATATATGTGTATATACATATATATATACATTTACTGAAACAACAAGTATCTTTCCCCTAAGACATGTTTCGCCCCTGTAGGGGGACAGGCCCGACCTCAGCATACGCAGAAGGGGGGGGGGGCGAGCGCGGGCCCGGAGCTCGGACGCCCTTGGGCGGCCCCCCCGGCCGGCCTCTGGACCCCTCCCCCCCCCTCCTCTTCCGCACCCCCCGGCCAGCCGCAGCTGGGGGAGCCGTGGTCCTGAAACCCCCCGGGGGGACCCCTCGATTTCGACATCCCTCTCTCTGGACGCCCGAAATGAGTACGGAAAGAATGGGTACGATGCCCAACAGCAGTTCCTGTTCATTTTGAACAGGACTCGCTGTCCGCGCCGCCGCGGCCTGTGTCCATTCGAGACAGGAGGCCGCCCGCCCAACAGCGGCCGCTGTTGGTTTGGGATAACATTTGCTGTTGGGCATCGTGCCCATTTTTTCGGTACCAATTTGGGGCGTCCAAACAGGCCAGCCACAACTGGGGGAGCCGTGGTCCTTGAACCCCCTGGGGGACCCCTCGATTTCGACAGCCCTCTCGAGGGATCGTCGATGCGACGGGTTCCCCCAGGGGGGGTAAGGACCACAGCTCCCCCAGTTATGGCTGGTCGGCCCCCCCGGGCGGCGCCTGCGGCGCGCGCCCGCTCGGCGGTGCAAGGACGGGGCCCTAACGAGGAAGAAGACAAAAACTACATAAACGCAAACTGTTGGCGCTCCGCGCGGATTTCTTGGATCCGCGCTGGGGCCCCCTTGGCGGCGCCGCCGGCGCCGCCCCTGGCGCGCTCCGCGCGCCAGGAAGGGGGGGTCCAGCGCAGATCCAAGAACTCCGCGCGGAGCGCTAAAAGTTTGTGCTTATGGCGATTTCTCTTTTTCTACTGTCGATTGGAAGGGACCCAACGGGGGATTCACGTTGTTTGAGGCGCCCCGTCCTTAGGACCCCATCCCTCAGAAACCCCGTCTTTGAACCACCTACCTCCCTCTCGCCCCCCCGCAGGGGCTCAGATGGAACCTCAAAAGTTCTTGTGGCTACTCGTGGCCATCTGGAACATCACACGCTCTTATGGCCACTGGTAGCCATGAGAACGTGGGATCCGAAAAAGGACAAACGCCACAAACATAAACTGTTGAAGCTCCGCTCTGATTTCTTGGATCGGCAACCGGCGGCACCGCCCCTGGCGCGCTCCGCGCGGAGTGGGGTCCAGCGCCAAAAGTGTAATGTTTGTACCGTTTATTTGTTTTTTATGATGGTAATTTCATTGTAGCCGTAAGAACGTGTGATGTTCCACTATGGCCACCGGTAGCGATAAGGGCGTATGATGTTCGGCAGTTTCCTCCAGCCCGATTCGGTTTTGGATCCGATTCGACTCGACTTCGGATTCCGATCTGGACCTCGTTTTCCCAGTGGAGGCCTTGCCAGCATACCGATTTCCGCCGATTCGATTTCTCGCGACTTGGCTGCCGATTTCCGCCGATCCGACTCATTTCGATCGCCGATCCGACCTATCGATTCGATTCTGGGCTCCCCTGCCCCCATCCCCTGTCTCTTGCAGGCCTGGGGCGCAGACCAACAGTCCCAGAGCGTTCTGAAGCCCTCTCGGAGCACTTGGAGCGTTCCTTCCAGGATGGCCGCGGTGCCCGATGCATCCCTGCGGGCCCGAGTGAATTTGGCCGTCCTGGTGTCATCTCGCCCCCTGCCGCCGCGTCACCTCTCGAAGGAGGATGAAGCCGATAAACAACAAACGTTTGGCTCCGCGCGGATTTCTTGGATCTGCGCTGGCCCCCCCGGCGGCGCCGCCCCTGGCGCGCTCCGCGCGCCAGAAAGGGGGTCCGGCTCAGATCCCAGAAGTCCGCGCGGACCGTTGAAAGTTCATGTGTGTGGCATTTTTCTTCTCTTCTGCTCCCTCATCTCGACCCTGCTCGGGCACCCGCTATCGTTGAGTCGGGCATGTCCCTCTACAGGAGGAATATTCAAACATAGTCCAAAAACCGTATGGGGACGAGTTGGGTTTTTTATTGCTAGTTTGCAGCATGTCTTTACTATCTTTTATTTTTCTCCCAAAAACCGCCTGTAGGGGGAACATGCCCGACCTAACGCTATCACGGACGGGAAACGTGTCCGTGTCCACGGCGTCGCGGCCCCTCCGGGCCGCGAGCCCCTGGAGTTCTGCGGGGCGGCGTCTCGCGGATGCCCCGCGCCGGACGTAATTAAGTCGGGCGTGGCCCTCTAGGGGGGGAATGTTCAAAAATAGTCAAAATATACTCAGGGGACTATTCTTTTAGAATTTCAATGTTTGAATATGTTTGATCACTTGTTCTTATTATGTTTGGATGAGTTTTGGTTTTTCGTCCAAAATCCGCCTGAAGGAGGACACGCCCAACCCGACGCTGGACGCGTCATCCCCAGGGTCTCGTGGGGTCTGTCTGGGAGGGTCTTGAGGGGGGGAGAGTTGCGAGCAGGAACAGCCAAGCCACAGGAAAGCGTGGCATTGACAGTGTAGCTCCGCACACATGTTAACGTGGCTTGGCCATGTTCCTGCTCGCAACGTACACCGCCAGATGCGGCGGACAGCTTGAGAGATCCACCCACAAAACAAAAGAGTTGAGTCGGGCATGTCCTTCTACAGGAGAATACTCCAAAAGTAGTCAAACATCAAAGTCAACACAAAATATGGGGACGATGTTTCGACTTTGTGTTGGCCATGTCTGAGTATGGTTTGACCATGTTTCATTTGTCTTCCAAGACCCGCCTGTAGGAGGACATGCTCGACCTGAGAGTAGAGCGGGCCCCTTTCAGCGTCAGGCCCAGGAGCGCACTAACTTCGAGGTACCAAGGTGCCCCTGGCCCAAGGTACCCCCAGGATGTCCGAGGAGGCCCCGATGGCCTCCTCATCACGAGGTCCAAAGGGCCCCAGGGGCTCCAGAATAGAGCGAACAGCTGGGGGCACCCTGGGCAATGGGGCACTTTTAGCACCCCCCCCGAGTGTTGAACGCAGGGCAAGAGTGGAGTGGGTCCTTCTCCCAGGGCGCCGTCGAGGGCGCGAAGTTATTCGCGCTTCGGCTCCGATTCCTCCTCATCCTCTTCTTCTCCCCTGGGAGGCGGCGCGAGAGCGCGAAGTTTTTCGCGCGTCGCGCAGCGCGAAGCGCGAAGTGGGGAGCCCTTGCTCTCAGTGTGAGGCCCAGGAGTGCCCCGGCCTCGGCCCACGAGTGAAGAGAGGCGCCGCGCTGCCCCCCCGCAGGGAGGGGGCCATTCTGCCCGAGCAGCGGAGCTCCGCGCACGAGCACTGGTACCGCGCGCGATTGCTCGGCGAGAGGTTACCCGCGATTTTGTAATAAAGGGGAGGGGGTCTGGACCCTCCAAGACAAGCCATTTCAGACCTCCCCCGTGGGAGAACCCTCCAATTCATCGTCCCCAGACCCCCCAGGCCCTCCAAGATAGCCTGGAAGAGACCCCCCTCCGAAATGAGACCCCCCTCCTTTTATTACGAAATCTGGAGTACCCGCGCGAAGGGGAGGCTTCGTAGGTTCCGGAACCGCGAATCTGGCCAGGCTCTTTGCGCCGTCGTGAGTTGCACGCGTGCTCGAGTGTGCATGCAGACTGGTGTTGGTGAGGCATGGGGACATGAAGAGAGAGAGAGAGAGAGAGAAAGAGAGCGGGAGAGAGAGAGAGAGAGAGAGAAAGAGAGAGACAGAGAACACACAACAAAACGACAGGGAGAGATAGACAACATCTAAGGGCCTTCGGCACATCAGATAATACGGTAGCACCCCGCAGATGCGGATAAGAGTGAGTGGGCGGTGGGGACGTCGGCAGTCTGCGAGACTCTGGAGAAGCCCGCCGCAGGCGCCAAGTTTCGCAAATCATACAACGAGCCCGCCGCAGGCGCCGATTTTTTCCTTACGCCAATGTGGGTAGGTCGCGGGTGAGTCGCAAATGGGATGCAAATGGGTCGCGGCTGTGTCGCGGGTGGGTCGCTGTTGGGTCGCGGGTGGGTCGCGGGTGCGTCGCGGGTGGGTCGTGGGGTGGGTCGCGGGTGGGTTGCAAGTGGGTCGCGGGTGGGTCGTTGGTGGGTCGCGGATGGGTCGCGGGGTGGGTCGTTTGTGGGTCGCGGCGTGGGTCGCGGATGGGTCGCGGGGTGGGTCGCGGATGGGTCGCGGGGCGGGTCGCGGGGTGGGTCGCGGGGTGGGTCGCGGGGTGGGTCGCGGGGTGGGTCGCGGTTGAGTCACGGGGGGGACGACGACAACAACAACGATTATTATTACAACAACAACAACAACAACAACAACAACAACAACAACAACAACAACAATTACTAGCACGTGGGGACACTCCGTTCTCACCAGTGCCAGGGTTTTCATACGACGCCCGCCAATACCCCCACTTTGTGGGGGGGCCGGTTCAAGCTCTACCACATTTCCAAACGACTCTTCGCCACCACCCACACCCAGCTTCCCGCCCTATGACGTTCGGACACTTCACTTCGTGGCCTGCGGACGACCGTGGCTACTACACTGGCGCATGGGTACAGTGACTTGTTGTGGTAACATTTTCTGGACGCTAGCTTAGTATACGACTTTTCCCCCTGTTCCAACACTGGACACCTGTACTGGTTTTTGGTGGTAACATGTTCCTCATGGTTTACTGCGAAGAAAAAACGAATGTGTCCCGCATGGTATTATTTGACAGGGATGATGGCCCTGGCAGGTGCGCAACCGTTGTTGGAGAAGTTCGAAGCACGTGAAAAAGTTGCTCGCGAAAGCCCGTTTGACAGAAATGTTTAAAAAGTGTTGGGTTTCCTACAAATCCGCAAGAGCGCGCGGGATGAAACGTTGACACTTTTTTTTTTGAAAAGCCATTGGTTTTTTGATGTTTTTATGTTAAAATCGCTACGAACACTAAGGTTTTGGAAAGATTTCGTTTTGCGCGCGCGAATGTCCACTTTACTTCATTTGTTGCAAGGGATTCTTGAAATGTGGTTATGTTAGAACAAGAAATGTCATTTTATATTGTTTTTTGCAAGGGAAAGCGGGGGGGAACAAAACAACCGGATCCGGACCAACCCGTTTTGCCGGAGACTTCGTCACGAAAATGATGAAAACATGGCTGCGGCCTAGGCGCGGCGAGGGGGCCGTGCACCAGGGGCCCCAACAATAATTATTCTTTAGAAATAATAATGTTCAACAACAACAACAACAACAACAACAACAACAACAACAACAACAACAACAATCATTTTAACATTGTTCGCCCCCTTATCCGCTCGAGTGTCCAATAACGCGTATTTCCCCAACCCTCGATACCCGCCCTCGTCGTTTTCGATTGAACCCTCTTTGGGGGGTATACCTTTCTCCCCTGCAGGCCGGGCCCCGGCAAGCGGCGGGGCGGCCGCGGACCGTCGGCCTGGCCAGCGGCAGCGCTGATCGGCGGGGCGGCCGCGGACCGTCGACCCGACCCCAAGATGGACGGACAGGGGACCGACCACGACGACGACGACGACGACGTCGACGGCGACGGCGACAACGACGACGACGACGACGACGACGAGCGAAAGCGAGAGCGAGAGAGAACGACAGCAGGACCACGAAGGGCACGAAGTAGGCCACGAAGGGCGGCAGCGGGGACACAAAGGGAATGCGTATGGGGCCACGAAGAGCGCGAACGAGCGGGGGCTACGAAGGGCAGATAATACGGAGCCAAAGAAGGCAATGATGGGGCGACTGAGGGTAGCAACTGGGCCACGTAGAACAGTGAGGGGGCCACAAACGGCGACAGCGGGGCCACGAAGGGCATGCACATGGGGCCACAACGGGCGCGACTCCTAGGTGCCTGGTTGTCGGGAACGCGGCGCTTGAGCAACTTACAAGAAGTTCCAACGCAACGGCGCTAGTCTTCAACAAATTTCAAGCAAGTCTCCAGCGAGACCGCGACTCCAGAGCGCCCGGAGCTTCTAGAGGGATTCCGGAACAAGTTATGAGGAAGTCCCCAGCGAGAGCGCGATTCTTGAATAAAATGCGATGGGGTCTCGTGCGGGAGCGGGGGTCCTGACTAAATTGTGAGGAAGTCTCAGGCGGGAGCCGTTGTTGTTGTAACCCGGGGGCCAGGGGCCCAGTTTGAGCATCAAGACTTTCCCTGTCAAAAAAACAGGGTGCGAGCGTCGAGGGGCACACTCTGATTGAGAAAAAACAGTATGCACCTGTGGGGGGATCAACAATAATTAATCTTCAGTAGCGAGCTCAACAACAACATTAAACATAATCTCCACCACGGATCTCCACTTGAGCCACGCACCCAGGGACAATGCATGACCGTTCGGCCCCCTCACTCTGAGCTAAGGGACTTCAGCCCATCCCGCCACCGTGGGTATGAAGCCTACTGGATGGTCGTTGGGATATCGTAGGGGGCCTCTAAAGGGCCTCTTGGAGGCAGTTTTGATGCCTCTTTGGGGCCGTTTCGGGGCCTCTCGGGGTCTCTGGGGCCTCTTTGAGGCCTCTTGGGCCCTCTTGGGGGCTTCTTGGGGTCCTCTTGGGGCCTCTTTGGGCCTCTCGGGGCCTCCTGGGGGCCTCTTGGGGCGAAATGCTCGGATGTTTCTTTCGTGTTTCCGCTCTTGGACCCCCTTCTGGGCCGTTCGAGGGCCCTCTTAGGCCCCTCTTGGGCCGTCTTGGGGGCCTCTTGGGCAGTTTTCTGGCGTTCTTAGGCCGTCGTGGAGCATCGAAAAGCCGAAAAGACGAAAACGCCAAAATCTGTCATATACCCCGGGAATATCACAGATGTTGGCCTCTGGGGGCCCTCTTGGGAGGCCTCTTGGGACTTGCAGGCCTCTTGGAAGCTTTGTGGGCCGTCTTGGGGCCATCTTGGGCGCCTTGGGATGATCATGATTGCGTCTCGGTGCTTTGGTTATCCTTCTTGAGGGCATCTTGAGACCCTCCAGGGCCCGTCGTTGCCCCCTCGCGGGCCTGAAAAAGCCCCGCAAGAAGACGCGGCGAGCCCCCGACATCACCAGCCTTGCCAACTTGAGAAATACGGGCCACGGGCCCGCGTAACGACGTTCCAGGAGTGAGGGTTGAGGCTCAGAGGATTAGGCAAGGGACCTGAGGACACGCTCGCTCCGTGCCCAGAGGCACGGTGGCGGATCATTCAGAGAGATGGGGATGGGGAGACAGCGAAGCACGAGGGAGAGGGAGCGGGAGAGCGAGAGAGAGAGAGAGAGCGAATACGAGAGGTAGAGAGAGGGAGAGCGCGAGAGAGGAACATACGAAACAAAGAGAAAGAGAGGGAGAGAGAAAGAGAGAAGGAGAGAGTTTGCAGGGGTGTTAGTGGGCGATGGGGTCCTCTCTGGGGAGGCGACGGGCCCGCTCGACCAGGCCGCTTGGTGCCTTGTTTATTTTGGCTGCAACGTGCAGGGCGTTGCATGCAGTGCGTTCTCGACGTCCTCCGCATGCACGGCCGAATTGATGCAGTGCCATTTGGGGAAGTTTCGTGGTCGGGGCCGAAGAGGTGTCGTTCTCCAGGGCGGTGCGAGATCGCGAAGATGAGCGTGATTCGCGCTTCGCGCAGCGCGCAACGCGGAACTGCTAAGTATGTGGCATAGTTCATTGTCGTGTCATACATGCAGGGCTGCATTTGTGTATATTGCTAAGTGGTCGCCGCTACTAAAAATGTTGTCGAAAGTGTGTGCATCATGCATCGTACCCACGGGCGTATCTATTGGCCTTGTTTCTACGCCGTCCTGTCGAGAGCCCTGACTCGCGCCCGTCATGCCGCTTGGATGCTCCCTTCCCTCGCCCCCCCCCCTCCTCGCTTTCCTCCTCGCTCCCTCCCCTCCCCCTCCCTCCTCTACCCCTCATCCCCCATCCCTCTCTTCGTGTCCCCTCCTTCCCCCCCCCCTTCACCCCACTCCCATCCATTCTCATCATTACGATCCTTCCTCTCCCCTCCCTCCTCCCTCCCAGTCCTTGTGCTGCTGCTGCTCCTCCTTGCCCGTTCTCGCTCCTCCTCTCGTTTTCCCCCCCCTTCGCTTCGGCTTGCTTAAAGGGGCCCAGCGACACACAGAAACAGACACAAAACCCAGGATTCCCAGCAGTGTTCCCATATGTTCTAGGTTTTCGTTTTCTTCCAAACTTCCCAGATTTTCCCATATTACCGGTGGACGGACGATTGACTGTGTCTGTGTGTTGTTTCCCCTACTGATTGCTGGACCCTGCTGCGCCTGTCGCGCCAGAAAGTGTTGGACGAGGAGGAGCGGATCTACCAGGAGTTGCAGGCGGGCGTCGGCATGGCCCCCTTCTCTTCGCTCGAGGGGATAACCAAACGCCATAATCATAAACTGTTGGCGCTCCGTGCGGATTTCTTGGATCCGCGCTGGACCCCCCCCGGCGGCGCCGCCCCTGGCGCGCTCGGCGCACCAGGGAGGAGAGTCGGGGGCGGATCCAAGGGATCCGCGCGAAGCGCCAAAAAAATTAAGTCGGGTCTGTTCTTCTACAGGAGAAATATACAAAAAGAATATAATCGTCTGTGGGCGATGTTTCGATGTTATGGGAGATGTTTTGCATACGTTTCGATGTGTTTCACTGTTTCCTCCAAAATCCGCATGTAGGGGGACATGCCCGACCTAACACAAAGTTTCTGTTTATGCAGTTGTTTCTTTTACCATCTTCGCGCGGGCCCAGGTCGGCTGCGGGTGCGGTCTCGGCTGCCACGGGGGAGGGCGGGGATGCGAGCTCTGCAGGGCCGCCGTCGCTGCGGAGCTCTTTTCTGGGCGCTGCTGGTGGTCCGCGTCGCCGCGGCCAGACGCGGCTCGGAAAATCGGCCAGGACGGATTTCGAGGAGGTGCCCGTGGACGAATTGTGCAGATTTTGGCGGAGGAAGGAGGAAGGAGGAGTAGGAGGAGGAGGAGGATGAGGAGGAGGAGAAGGAGGACGACGACGACGACGAGTAATGCGACGCTGGATGAGCAGGAGAAGCGTTCTACTGCACTGGATGCCGAGGAGGAGAGTGGTTCCGCCACGCCAGGACTTCCGTGTCACTCTGCCGAATGGGGCAGACAAGTTGTGCCTTTGCTGCGCGGAGGACCTTAAAAAGAACGGAATCGGTAAAAGACGGCGAGGCAGTGATGCAATGGTTTCCAATCGTGCGCTCAGTGCTCGTTTCACCCGCCGATCACCGGCGTCGTGAGGTCGCGCGCGCCCCGACCAAGTCCGAATTGTGTGGTCTGGCGTGTGGAAGGACGGCCAGATTTGTGGAGGTCGTAGGCCAGCGCGCAGCGGGCACCTTCTCTGGAATGCGCACGTCTTGGACGAGAGCCCCCCGCCGGGGGAGGTCGCCTTGAGTCCGAGGAGCCTGGGCCAAGGGCAAGGATAGCCCCGATGATTCTTGGGAACTCCGTGGCGGTTGCTGAGAGGGGGCGTCCTCGTCCTCGTCGCCGTCGCCGTCAGCGTCTCCGCCGCTGCCGTCGGCGTCGTCCTCGTCGCCGTCGCCGCCGTCGTAGTCGCCGCCGCCGCCGCAGTCTTCCCCGGCGTGCGCGCCAGGGGGGCGACGCTGGCGACCAGGCGGCGCGCCTCCTGGAGAAGCGCCAGGCCCGACGAGGGACTCGGCTGCTTTATCCCTCCTCCCTCATCCTGGTCCTTCCTCTAATCTAGGCCTCCTAGATGGGGTCGGAGGATCGCGCCGCATCGCCGATGCATCGATGATGCGGCTTGATGTGGAGCCAGTGTTTCCCCACGCCGACGTCGCGGATGCATCGCCGACGTCGCCGACGCATTGGCCAAGCGGCGCGATCCTTCGACCCCATCTAGGAGGCCTCTACTCTAGCTCCTTTCGACGGAGTGCCTAAATTCTAGGCGCGCAACTTCTTTCGAACTCAGCGAGCTGATGACAGCCTCCAGCTCCAGAGGCTGGAGGCGCTCGAAGCCCGTCGACCAGATCGGCGTGCCCTCTGCCTTCGAGCGAGGTCACCCGTCCTCCTCCCTTCCTCCCTTCGCCTGGCCGCGACCCTGGCGTCGGATCAGTCTGACCCCCTCTATCGGGTATAGCCAGGACCATTGTGGGCCCCGGAAACGGCAGGGCCCTTTTTTCACCGTTTCAAAAAAACTGTCCCTTGAAAGTGGAAACGGCAAAAAAACGGAGACCGGAAACGGCAAAAAAACTGCTCCAGGAGGACCCGGAGCCGGAATCGGTCAAAAAACGGCGACGGAACCGGTAAAAAAACAGCGTCGGAACCGGCAATAAAAACGGCAAAACGGAACCGGTAAAAAAACGGCCCTGCCGTTTCCAAGGCCCACTAAGGCCAGGACCCCAGGTAAGGGGACCCGGTTAGTAGTTAGGGCCCAGCTGGAGCCCCTAAGTTTGCCAGAATGTAAACCAGGTCTGCCGTAGCTGCGTTTTTTCGGGTGACGGCAGTTCCCGTTAGTGGAACGGGGCGGGGGGGGCGTCCCCCAGTACACATCGTTAAACCAGGCCCCAGTAAACACAGTTCTGCCAACGCCCGACTCTAGGTCGGATGGCCTCCTTCGGATGGGGGACGGAGTCCTTCGCCAGTCCTCATCAACCTCCCTCTCCGGAATCCTCCGTGGTGGCCACCAGAGACCTTTGGGGAGCCCTGGAGACCTCCAGAGACTTTCGTGGGTGGGGACCTCTGCGGACTCTACAGACTTCCTCATCCTTCGGAGGTTTATACCTCCTACCCTGACACGTCGATTAGCGAATTGGGCGTCTTCGGTTCGCGAGAGGTTCGTCGCGGCCGTCATTTTTGTGGGTCCAGGTCCGTCGGTTTCGATCCTAGGCTGTTTTAAAGGGAGGTTTGTCCTTCGCCGAATCCTTCCTCCCTCTCCCACCTCCCACACACTGTCCGCAACGGTGGTCGCATCTCGTTGCACCTCCCTCACTCCCCCACCCACCCCGCGCGCGCAGTAAGGAGGAGAAGAATAAGGGATGATGAGGGAGAAGGGGTCGAGAATGAGATGAGGATGGGGCGGCTGAGGCGGAGGGATTTGGAGGAGGGGGAGGAGGAACGGGAGCATGAGGGAGCATGATGGTCACGAGGGTGGAAGATGATAATGAGGGAGCAGGACGAGGACCTTGAGAGGAGGATGTGGTGCATGAGAGGGAGGAGGAGGAGGATGAGGAGGAGGAAGAGGAGGAAATGAAGAACGATAGAGCAGAAGTAGAAAGAGGAGGAGCACATATCATATGGGGGAGGAGTAGGAGCAGCAGCCTGCTGGAGCAAGAGGAGGGAGGAGGGAGGATCCATGGATGATGATGATGATGATGCTGCTGCTGATGATGATGGTGATGATGATGACGATGCTGCTGATGATGATGATGATGACGATGACAAAGACGATGACGATGACGATGCTGATGGTGATGATGATGCTGATGATGGTGCTGCTGTTGCTGATGCTGAGTATGATGAGTATGATGAGTATGATGATGATGCGGAGGATGATGCTAATGACGATGACGATGACGATGACGAGATGATGATGATGATACTGATGAAGCTCATGATCATGATCATGATGAGGATGAAGATGAGGATGAGGATGAGCATGATAATGAGGTTGAGGTTGAGGATGAGGACGATGATGATGGTGATGATGGTGATGATGATGATAACGATGATGATTATGATGTCGCTGCTGATGCTGATGATGATAATGATGATGATGATGATGATGCTGATGCTGATGCTGATGCTGATGATGATGATGATGATAATGATGATGATGATGATGATGATGATGATGATGATGATGATGATGATGATGACGATGACGATGACGATGGTGCTGCTGCTGCTGCTGCTGCTGATGATGATGATGATGATGATGGTGATGGTGATGATGATGCTGCTGCTGCTGATGATGATGATGATGATGATGATGATGCTGATGATGATGATGATGATGATGATGATGATGATGATGATGATGATGATGATGATGATGATGATGATATGATGATGATGAGGAGGAGGAGGAGGAGGAGGAGAGGAGGAGGAGTGGAGGAAGGAGAGGAGGAGGAGGAGGAGGACGAGTTGCGAGAAGGAGCAGGAGGAGCAGGAGGAGGAGGAGGAGGAGGACGAGGACGAGGAGGAGGAGGACGAGGAGGGAGGAGGAAGGAGGAGGGAGGACGGAGGAGGGAGAACTGAACGTGTAGGTGCCCTGGCCAGGGGCGGCGGCGGGGCCCGAGGGGGCAGCCCGGGGGCGCGGGGCCGAGAGCGCGCCAGCAGGCTGAGAGCCGGGAGCGGGTCCGGGCTGCGCTGGCGACCCTGCTCAAGGAGGACGGCCTGCCCAGCCATGCGCAGAGGGGGGGTGGGGGGAGGAGGTCCTCCTCCTCCCCCCTTCTCCTCCTCCCCCCCCTCCCTCCTCCCTCCTCCCT